TTGCCATCAAGACAAACTCAATCCCCTCCGCAGGTACAACCTGTCGTGATGCTGCCATGCCAAACGGCTACAGTGTCCCATCTGGAAACAATTCAGGGAACGCCATCTGTTACACATGGGCCACAACAACCACACCTACAAACACACAGAGCATCCTCTGTGCTCACAGTTTCAAAGCACCATTCTAACATGCAGAGTCAACAGTTTATATATTAAACCACATGGGTGTTGCATTATTGTGCAGTTGCTAGGGTGTTTTGGGTGGTATGGAAAATAATTTAGGCAGTATGGTCATTTTTGTCGTATGGGGTGAGTGATCTCTAACCATCACCAGCACAGATCCTGACCAATCAGAAAATCCAAAAGAAAGGAAAAATGTACAGAAGGTGAAAGCAAATGAGAGAAGCAGCAGAAGGCTATGGAAGCCCTTTTCTGCCACAGGATAAAAAATAAAATAGGCGATTGTGACTTTTTTTTTTATCTTGTAATTCTGAGAAAAAAGTCAGAATCGTGAGATATAAACTCAAAATTCAGTTTTTTTCGCACAATTCTGAGTTTGCATCTTGCAATTCTACGTTTATACCTCGCAATTCTAAGTTTATACCTCGCAATTGTAAGTTTGCAGCTCACAATCGAAAGTTTACATCTCACAACTCTAAATTTATATCTCGCAATTGTAACTTTACGCAATTTAAATGTACACAATTCTGAGTTTACATCTTGCAATTCTAAATTTAAATCGTGCAATTCAAAATTTACATTTCGCAATCGTAAGTTTACATCTCAACTTTAAATTTACATCTTGTAATTGTTAATTTACATCTCGCAACTCTAAATTTACATCTCGTTATTCAAATTTACATCTCGCAACTGTAAGTTTACCTCTTGCAACTCTGTTTACATCTAGCAATTCTGTTTTCTTTGTTTCCACCACAAAACAAAAATAAAGGAAATGACTTTTTTCTTTTTTTTTTTTCTTTTTTTTAATCTCACAATTCCAACTGTTCTTCTCAGAATTTCAAGTTTACATCTCCTATTTGTGACTTAACATTTGTAACCTTTTTTCAGAATTACGAGAAAAAACATCCAAATTGTGTGATATAAGCTCAGAATTGCAAGAAAAGTCAGAATTGTGAGAAAGTCATTGTACTATAAAAACATCCTGTAAGTTTCAGAACTCAAAACTTTCTCGTTGGTCTAAAAACAGCTTATGTTGAAGCCAATCTGACAAAACGACAGCTTGTGGAATGTGACACTTTATGATGTAATAGTGTGGCTAAACCCCGCCTCCACAGAAGATCATCAACGCCTGCTTCGACATCACTGTCTGTTTAGCCCCGCCCACCGATTCTACATCACTGTCTGTTTAGCTCCACCCACCAATTCACGCATGTAGTGTAAATAACGAGAGAGGCAAACGCAGGTCTACACAGAAACCAAACGATAAAGATGACTCCAAAGACAACAAGACGCTGTTCAGATCCAGACCGCATCAGTAAGAACTCGGTCCTTTGTTCACATTATTTTACCACTGATTCGTTTACAAACAAGGCACAATTCGGCGCAGGATTTTCAGAAAGATTGAAACTAAAAGACGATGCTGTGCCAAATATATTGGATCGACAGTAATGTAGCAGCACACAAGTGTGAGTAACTGTTTTTATTACGTGTTTACTATTGCTTTGCTATTACAGATCATTTGATTTGTACTGAGTATTTATGCGTTTTTAACCTAAATCACAGCAGCGTCCATCTATGAAGGATGAAGGCTGTCAAAAATACACAACTGTTAGCCAATCATAGCAGTGGGCGTTTACTTCCAAGTCTACAATCACCACACCAGTTCAAACAGAGCGTTCTGATGAGGGGGTCAAAACTGGACAGAAAATAGCCTATTACTTCTAAATTATGATGTTTTTTGATGTAAAAATCTTGATAACATTATAAGTGGACCATAGAGAACAGTACAAAATAATAAAAAGGCAGTTCATGACCCCTTTTTAAAATCCCATTAGAGAAACAGGCTTCCATAGAAAGCAAACTAGATTTAACATATTACATTACTGTTTACAGGAGTCCAGCAGTTGTAATGCTGTCCTGAGCCAGTCAATCAGACAATGTCTTTCACTCATTTATCTGTGATTGTGTGATAAGTGTATGGGGTTTGAAGTGTTCCAGATCATTTGCATGGTCTCTTTGCCAACATGATGCTGCTGATTTTTTATTTATTTTTTTTGCATTGACTGGTTTGCAGAGGGCTGATGGGAAGTGAGGTTTAAACCGAGTACACGACACAATAAAACCAAACCACGGGAACAGATTTAAAGGCACGGCTTAGTGCGTATGAGCAAACAGAAATGCGAAACTTTGCAAGAGCATCAGGTTTGACTCTGCATGTGTGCATTTGTGTTCCCTTGGCAGGACTGTGTACCATCCCATGGGTCATTGCCAGAGTGCAGAACACAAAAACATAAAAAAATTTTGTGTCTGTGATGTAAGACTCAGGTGCATAAATGCACACACACATAAACACACGGGTGAATTGCACAAAGCCTATAAAGAACATGCCCTGGTCATATTTCATTTCAATCTCTAAAGACATAAGAAATGATCATTTGCATAAATTATTGCTTTGTGACTTTTATGCTACTTTTTTTTTTAATCAATGCAAAATATTTTTATTCTCATTACTGTAATGCAAAAATATTATTTATAATAATAATTTATGTAAATAATTTGCATTATTTACCCTATATTATTTATTCATTCTGATGATTTTATGAATTTATTACCCCATATGGGGAAAAAAATCTCAAATCATCTTGATATAATAAAAGTATAACTTGAGAATCCTACTATAATCATGAGAATTATTCAAAAAGAAAACATCCAATTGCATGGCCGTAATGAGAATGTTTTTGCATTATGATAATGAAAATTTGGTTAAATTTGTAAAATCTCAAAATAAAAAAATTATATTAAAATATTTAGCATTATGACTTTTTATGCAACTCTTTTTTTTTTTTATCAATGCAAAACATTTCTACTCTCAATATTGTAATGCAAAAATAATGATATATTATTTAATCTGTATATTTTTATTTGTTTGTTTGTTTGTTTTTTCTGATGTTTTTATAAAAAAATTTACCCTATGGGGAAAAAAATCTCAAATTCCATGTAACAAAAGTATTTGAGAATCTGACTGAGAATCCAATGGCAATCATGAGAATTATTCAAAAATAAAAACATCCAATTGCATTACAGTAAGGAGATTTTGAACATTTGGTTGCAAATTTGCTTGTGTCATGAAAATAATGTTCTAAATCTTAAAAATAGGCTTTGTTTTCTTTAAGCAAAATATAAGTTCTAATTATTTTCTCATGAGTTTGGGGTGAAATATGAACTGGACATGTTTGTCTTGCGATTCTAGCTTCAGCTAGTATTACTGTACAGTAGGTGAACACCTTCCAAAGCCCATCAGTCAACTGTCAAAACACTGTAACGGTTTCTCTCTCAGCCTCATTACAATAAGCCATTAACCAAAGGCCCTGGGAAACGAGAAATGTGATTCAGAGCAGGAAGGATCTCTCTAGCGTCTTCTGCATGTTGCCCTCTCTTACTTTCATTCTCGTTTTCTCTAAAGCTCAAAAGCCTCTTTTATGTACAAGTCAGACCGGGTTGAGCACACGCCCCCTTTTTCCAGACACACCCGACTGGGCACAGAGGCAGACTGTGTGTATATTTAGGATGAGATGCACACCCCCGGAGACACACACACACCTAGTCGTCATGACGACAGGCGTATGATAAACATCGTGCTCCATGCATTTATTTAAAGTTGGCATTATTCAAATTCAGCACTCATGTCTCCACAATTCGCAGTAAGAAAGTCCGTTTATGACTATATAAGTATATATATATATATATATATATCTGCTCTAAAAAATAAAGGTTCTTTGCATCGATGGTTCCATGAACCTTTAACATCCATAGAACCCTTACATAAAGTAAATGGTTATAAGTGATTTCTCTGTCACTCATGACCTCAATAGTGTGAGGTCAATCTGAAATATCCTGGCACACTCATTTGATAGGGAAATGTCTGATTGTTATGGTTTAGCTGAATCGCAGTGAGGTCTGTGAGTGTGTGTGATGCTCATGCAAATGTCCTACTGTACGACCAGCGCGTTTACATATCGTACAGTGACATGCTGACTGTCAGTTCAAAGGACACAGGAAACAGGATGTGACATCATAGAGGGAAGAGCCATAGAAAAATACACACAATAAACTACATCATATACACAACTACATCACAGGTAAACATCGAGCCTTATTCATGAAATACAAGCTGAATGAATTTAAATCATTCATAAAACTGTTCTTATGTGAAATGTTACACTTATTTCAGTGGAAAAATTAGCAAAAGACTGAATTTAAAAACAAGTATTTTATTTGTTTCATAAATAAGGCCCATTATATTTGCTTTAGCAGATCATGTTTTAACGTATATAAAAACATGTTAAAGGTGGATGTTAAAAGAGCTATTTAATTTTATATATGTAAAGTAAAATAAAATCTATTAATTATTCAAAGTAGAATATTTCATTTTATTTAAAAATGAGTATTTGTTGTTTTTTCCATAAATAATGTTCCTTATATTCGTTTTAGCACATAACTTCTCACCCTAACATCTTAATAAAGTGTAAATAACATGTTAAAGGTGCTGTTAGCTATTTTATTTCATATATTTAAAGTAAAACAAATCATTTATTTTATTCTACTTAAAGTAAAATAAAAATTTGTATTTGAAGTAAAATATTTTATTTTTTTATTTTATATTAAAAATGAGTGTTTGTTTAATAAATAAGGCTTATTATATTTGTTTTAGCAGATAGTTTCTAGCATTTTTAGCAAATTTTACCATAACGACTTAATAGTGTACAAGATAGATTGCTCACAGCACCTTTAATTTACAAATAAATGTGATGTTTACTTACCGAACAGGGTTTTGGCACTGATCTTGCTGTCCGATCTGGCCACCCCACTGCAAAGAAGAGCAAAGGAGGATGAGGAGGGTGGAGGACGATGTCTGCTCTTCATTACTTTACAGTCTTTAGTTTTGATTAAAATACTCGGTACACACTCAGTGTCCTGGTCTAATGTGAACACTGGACACAGACTGAGCAAGACTGATTAGAAAGATCTACAGGTTGTGAGAGCATATGGGAGTGAGGGAAGGGGGTATGAGAGAGAGAGAGAGAGACAGGTTGTTTCCAACAGGGCAAGAAAGGCAAACATTCCCAAACAGTGCTGCTCTGTTAACTGTAATACACACACACACACACACAATCTCACAAAAAAATCACTAACTACGGGATGTTTGGTTAGGTGTGTGTAGGTCCTAAAAAACATTAGTAAAAGCTACATTCTTTTTACATGCATATAATGCCAGAAGCATGCTATTTGAAAGTGCACAAATGCATTGAGCTACTGCAGTGTAACCACGCTGTCCTCTTATGTTTCGTAATACACCGCACTACGAAGGTAATTACAGTTTGAAATATTTCCCAAAAATGAAAAAAAATTACTGTTTAAAATTTATTGTACTCACCCTCAATGATAAAAACATCACAATAATCCACAAGTAATCCACACCACTCCAGTCCATCAGTTAATGTGTTGTGAAGTGAAAAGTTTAAAAGCATGTTTGTAAGTTTGTTATTACAGTGTTTTCACTACAAAACCATCACTTCTGGTCAAAATATGAGTCCAAAATCCATAATAATGTTTCCTCCAATGAACGAGTCCATCTACTGTTGTTATCTCACATTAAAATCCACAAGCATATTTGTTTAGATCTGTTTTGGTCTGTTTTTGCCTGTAAACGGTGTTTGATTTGTGCACATTTCTCTCCTGATTCAGACGAGACAACTTTTTCACTGGAGAAAGCAATATTATGGATAGAGCTGGAAGCGACGGTTTGAAGCAAAAACACGCAACTTTTCATTTGAGAAGATGTTAACTGATGGACTGGAGTGGTGTGGATTACTTGTGGATTATTGTGATGTTTTTATCAGCTGTTTGGACTCTCATTCTGACGGCACCCATTCACTGCAGAGGATCCACTGGTGAGCAAGTGATGTAATGCTACATTTCACCAAATCTGTTCTGATGAAGAAACAAACTCATCTACATCTTGGATGGCCTGAGGGTGAACACATTTTCAGCCAATTTTCATTTTTGGGTGAACTATTCCTTTAATTAACTTGCTCAGTGAGATGCTATTAAAAATGGTGTACTCACATTGCATTATAAATTGAGCTTTCACACATTATGAAATTCAAAAACATGAAGTTGAGCTTGCATGGTTAGAAGCGACCAAGTTCAACCGTGTATACGAGTATGATTCGAGTTTGAGACTTACTTGCTTGCTTTTGTTGGGGTCCCCAAAGCATTCATGTTCTACTACATCCACCTGCAACAAAGAGAGACAGGCAGAATACGTCATTAACATCAAACTCCACCACAGGAAATGAAACACAGCACAGGAATTACAGTAAAACCAAACATCATTTTTGACTCTTTAACTGCCTCTTTAATTTTTCACACACTGTCAGTTTACTTTGTCTTAATCTCTCACTAAACACTGTGCTATTTTTGTTTTCCACGCCTCCACCCTTCTCTCTTTCAAAGGCCTTTCCATTGTTTCTTTCTTGCTCTGTCCTGGCCGCTGTGAATAATTCATCTCTGTGTGACTCTTGAGGCATATGACTCCTTTGAAGAACTGTAAAAGCATCAAACAGAGCATGAACTGACTCTGCATCCTGTCTGCAATTTGCTCAGCTCTTGAATAATCAATATGCATGTATTATTTTTTTCAAACAGTCCAATTTAAGCTTAAAAAAAATTATCTTTCTAATCACTCAATGTCTATTAAAGTAACATTAAACTTCTCGTAATTTGAGAAGAACGCTATTAAGCGTTAGCATAATGTTTTAAAATACATCATGCCATCCACATTATTTGACTTATTCAAAACTAAAAACTGATACATTTAGGAATTATTAGTCATTTTTGTAGGGGGGAAAAATCTTCAACAGTTCAAATAATGTTGTACCAAGAATGTTTTCTCATTTCACTGTGAGAACTTGCATTAAAGGCAGAGTAAGTGATTTTTCAAAAACACTTTAGAAAACTGATTCGGGCCGAATCGCAAAACAAACTTGTAGCCAATCAGCAATAAGGGGCGTGTCTACTCGTGATGTGGAGGAGAGCGCGTTCAGTGCATGGGACGGACATTAGCCGAGCCGAGCGACAGAAAGATAGAGATGGCGGATAAAAAACAAAAGAGGAAAACGTCTGCGGAACGATAAGGCAAGAAGTAGGACCCGTGTAAATATTTGGATCAGCTTTCCAGCGCTGGAGAGAAATCAAGGAGCGGAGGCCTGCGATCGGACCCCGAGGTTGCTTTGTTTCTTCTCAATAGGTGAGTAACACCGTGCCTACAACAGCTAAAGTCTGCCTACACTCGACGCGATCAAACGACCGTTGAAAACCATTTGAAATTTGTGTCAGCACGTCATAAATAGAACCCGGCAGCAGTTTTCTGTCGGGAATTT